TCTACAACTACCTGAACGGGGGTTGTGGTGACATGGGTGTTGGTCGCTACTCCCAACTAACTAGTGATAGGACGAGAGGAAATGGCCTCAAGTTGTGCCAGGGGAGGTTTAGATTAGATACTAGGAAAAATTTCTTCACTGAGAGAGTGGTCAAGCATTGGAACAGGCTGCCCAGGGAGGTGGTGGAGTCACCATCTCTGGGAGTGTTCAAAAAACGTGTGTATGTGGCGCTTCAGGACATGGTTTAGGGGACACAGTGGTGCTGGATTAATGGTTGGACTTGATGATCTTGAAGGTCCTTTCCAACCTTAGTGATTCTGTGATTTTATGACTAACTCCTCTCTCCCCAGCCCAAATTGCCATTCATCTCCCCTGCCCCAGATGAGCTGAAGACACATGGTATCCCATCAGTAAATGTCATCCTGTGAGATACTGTTCTCATTGAGTTCGGTGGTATAAATCAGCTCTGTGACACCTCTCTCCAGTTCCAATCTACTGAACAATTTGAAGTACTTTTTGTACTATTTAATGCAAAGGCATGGGGAAAAAGGTACAGTTTGCTGCCTGACCAAGAGAAAGATTCACAGCAGTTATCTACCAGGCTGCTAAGCCCTACAGAAATGTCAGGGTAAGAGAAGCTACTATTCCAGCCAGCCTGGCAGTTTTGTAGGTACAAAGCAGCAGGTTGAAAGTGAAGTGATAGGCAGCATGCACGCACACACAAAAAGTGTAACTCCTGTGAGAGACATGACAAGACAGCTGAAGAGGAAGGAAACAAAGCAGGAAAGACTATTGTGTTTCACTCAAAATACCATGGGTAAATGATGTATGATGCGTAAACTAGGGCTTCAGAGACACAGTGAAGCTTATCTCTGCACCCTCACATCAGATAGTCACAGTGCATTTGAGACAAGTATGTATGGAAACCAGGAGGAAGCCACAAATGCAGATTTAAGGGTATTTGAAGCTGCACAGGTTTGATGATACTCATGCACAGTCATAATAGACATGCATGTAAATTGGACATCTGCTCTTGCAAACCCTTCTGAATCAAATGCATGATCAAACCATTCTCTGTGGCAATGAGAATCCAGACATTAAAGTGAAGATGATTATCAAAAACTTTTCCACGTTAGAAGGTTTTCCGGCTTGTCTGAGAGCTACTGCTCAGACAGCTAACCCTGGGTATTCACTGCTTTCATCCTTGATTTGGAAATGCCATGTTTCTGTTCACAACAACACAGTTGTGTTATAATTAAAAGGAAGAAGGAGGAAACATAAGACTTCAGAAGAGTATATGGGGAATTGTATCTGGGGAAGAGAGAAAGCATCAGACTCATAGAAAAAGAATAAATCCACACGCTCTCAAATAAACTATGAACACTACATTTTTGAGCTTTGGTAAAATTTTCAGTGCAGGGTCTGTGTACAGCCCTAAATTCTGAGAAAGTTAAGTAAATCCTACATACTAAGAAAAAAGTTTGGAGGGAGAAAAGGCATCATGTACTTTACAGAGAATTAAAGTCACAAGGATTAAGCCTAGGAGGAAATTATAGGAGGAGATCGTCATTGCCATATTTTTGTCTTAATCACAGCAAAATGTTACAAGCTGGACATTGCTGTAAATAACAGAATGCAGCTGACAATTTCATCACTGTTCTGCAAGAAGGCATGTAACACAGCATTGCCTTGTGGAGGACTCTACATTGGTCACCGCAGTATGAACCTGTACTAACTTTTTCTCATCCTGAAGAACTGCAGGTAAAATACTAACTGCACTCCAACCACACGTGCTGACTAAGAACATGCCATATTTGCAGCAAGTTTTGAAAGAAAATGTACATTTCTAGTGAAGTTGCCAAGGTAGCACAATCTCATGCAAAGTCCGTTTGCAATGCTGCACATTTCAGTCACTTTTATAGTAACCTGCAAGATTTAACCCAGGAGTTCATTCAGGTTGAAGAATTCTGTGCCTATAAAACAGATATATGGAACTTACTCCACATATTACACAGACTGGTATGTACTGTTAATAAGCCTAAAGACATTCCTTCTTTCTACTACAAGTTATGTACAGTAAGCTCACCCTCCATGATAGTCAGAGGATCTTCCACTTTGGGGCGAAGGATGTTGGGGCCAAAAACGGTAGCCAGATTTTGCACACTCATTTTGTTTATGCCTGAATAAGACTGGACTTCATCAAGGAATCTGTGGGGAAGAAAGAGGCCTTTAATTTAAGGGAATTAAAAAAAAAAAAAGTCAAAGCATGTGATGGTTTCTTAATATAGTTCAAATATTTAATTCCAAATCCTCATGGAATATCTTGAAAGCTCAAAGCTGTTCCTACTTTCTTGAGATTTTTTTCAAAAAGATACATTGATAACAAAAATTTGAATCTCAATCTGGACTGACTACAAGATAACTCTGTTGAAGATGGTAACTCAGCACAATTAATCCAACTACTTGGCTCATAAAATATCCTCAAAATGCAAACTGTCAATTAAAAAAAAGTTTACATTCTTTTAAAAACTTTTTTTATGCTGGGAACTTCCTGTAAGTTCACAAATTGCAACTGTGTTAAGACATGTTTTTTAAGATCTTAGATGTATCCACAAAACTATTCTGTATGTTGAAAGATAAACACAGTTTTCAAGGATACCATGCTTCAGGAGTGCACAGCCAAGGCCAGTAACTGCAGTTAGAAATGGGAAAACCAGGGCCCTATTGAGAAGACAGAATATATTAACTTCTACCTTCTTGTGTTTCTTCCTGAGTGTGGCCTGCTTATGAAAGGAAAGTCGTAAATGTGCACCTTGACAGAGCAAATTAGTAATTGGTCATGCAGTAAACCTCTATTTTTAGTGCATTCACTTAAGTTCACCAATCTTCCGACTGTGAGTGATGCTTTTCCTTTAGGGCACATACACAGACAGGTTTGTCTGTCAGCTCACAGTTATAAATACCATTGCGATAGTCTTGCAAGAGCACTTACCTACAGATATATTTCAGCAGATTATAATTGACAGCTGGCAGGCTCTTCACTTGCTTCACCAGTTCTTTCAGGCCCTTTAAGTGGTTTAAGGTGGGGGAAAAAAAAAAAAAGAGTGGGGAGGCACAGTATTTTACCAGCGATTCAAAAACATGTCAGCAATTCCAATCAGAAGACAATAAATACATCACTGAAACTGCAGTATTAAATGCTATATACACGTTACCATCAGGAAAGGCTTGTAGAACCCATTTTGGATGGGGAAAGCTGTGTTTGTCTTACAAGGAGTAGCTCTGGATAAAAACAAACAAGTAAATAAATAACTTGGTTTCATCCTGTCTTTCGCTTCTCTTTCACTCTTTCTTTTTTGGACTAGCAGCTATGTTCCTCCTCCTGCTGATAACAAGGCTGAGGCTTCCAGGAACAGTTCCAGTTTGAACTAGTTGGCATTTTTGGCTGAGAAACTATTTGAGTATTGTATCCAGTTCTGGTCCACACTAGATTCAGACCAATAAACAGTTATTTCAGTTTGTGCCCACCCTGGGAATGGGACAAGCAGAATATCACACGCCAATTTCTGTGCCCTGTGGAAACAGACTCTCGCTACACTCTTTACCAACTAGTGCCTTTACCCTCTTTTTCAGTATGCTTTTTGCCAGCATCAGTGGGGTTTTGATTACAGTATGTTATGAAAACAAACGCAAATCAAAATGGGCGGACCATGATAGTGCACAAGTTTGCTTGTTGTGGGCTAAGAAAGGAAACAAGATGCACAGCTCTCTCCCTTAACAGTGACTGTACTTTTAACTTCTGCATGGAGAAAGATCAACTGAAAATCTAGTGAGACAACCTTACAGCTGGACTGCTAAGCCACTATAAAGAGGACTGAGGTGGCTCATCACCTATAGTACTGAATGTTCACAAACTGCCAGCACCAACTCCAGCACCAAAAGGCCACTGTAATTTGAATCTTGCTTTCAAAATTAATTTAATAAAGTGCTTCATGGCGTATTTGCAGAGGAACTACATAAATACACTCTGGACTAAGCCAATATAAAATGACTAAAAGTTTAATCTCAAAATGAATATCACTCATGTGCAAACTGCATGGTGCCTAACTGCAGAGCTGTCAGGTGGCTTTACATTGGGAGCTATCAATGGTTAGAGACACACGCAACACACACAAGCAAACAGCTGCAAATTTAGCTCTGAGGATCCCCTGCCATAACTTGTGCAAAGAGCAGCTCAAATTAAAACCAGCTGAACAGCCCACTCCCACTTTTTGCAAGCAGCTGGCAAAATTTTGCACCTTGTAGCAAGCTGTAAAGGACAATGAAGAAACCAGTCTGATTTCATTGGGTGTAAGAGATTATGACCATAAAAGACAGTTTGCCACAGATCTTTCTCTCTCTCCCCATTCCATCAGATGGGAACAACTACCACCTCTGCTGTTGGTAGTCATCAACTGAAGGCTCAGAAAGGACACAGTCTCTCAGTTAGAAAAGAGGGGCTCCTACTCATCTTAATTAGAAGATTAGGTAGGAGGGGTTCCAATTGTAGCAGGATTTGAAATGTCAAAAAGGAATTAAACAGAAATAACCACCTTAGAAAGTTAGGTTAGATTGAAATCAACAGAATGAGCCTGTTTGTATTTACTTTGAAAAAAAAAATATCAGGGTTGACCTCATTACCCATAAGCACACAGAACAATGTAAAAACAAGCACTTAGTTTCTTGTATCTTCACACTAACATACAGGAGACCCACATCACTGCAGGGCACATATTGTCAGTCAGAGCCCTTATTTTGCTTATCTGTGTCACACTGTTTTAGAAGTCCGGAAGGTGGCCTGCTTCCACCTTTTTGAGACCTTCTGATGATAGGCAATGAATAGAGTCTGTTGGCCTTCAACTGAAAGTCAGTGAAAGTTGGCATCCTGATACTTAGAAAAAGATGACCCCGATCTAATGGCAAGAGTTGGACAGCAACTACTAAGACCCTTCCTTTTACAGTTCAGAATGATAATCCAGGAAAATATAAGTCTCTTCCATGCAAAATGGAAGCTATTGACCACAATATTGTTCACTTGAACTGGACTCAGTGACATGCAATAAATACATCTAAAGTTGTGCTATGCACTTTCATCTATACTTCCAAATGGCCTAGGTGGCTATGAAAATATGAACAATTTTCATATAAACCCAGACTCAATTAAGAGATGCACATCTTAAATTAGGATAGGTAATCACCAGCTTCTCTAATCCTCAAAATTGGAACAGGTTATAACATGGCAGCCTTTTATTTCATCTTACTGAAGTTTCCAACTCACCGTTTCTTCCTCCTTGCTGAGCATTTTGGCACAGGAAAGAAAATCTTCGTATTTTGCGTATGGTATGACTGGTTCTGGGAGTTCCCTTAGGTACAGCTTAAGCAGTGATGCCACCGTGTGCACATCTGTATTGCTGTTGGGTTGGAATACAAGAAGTTGTTACTGTGAATCAGGATAATACTGTGAGATTGACAGGCTAAAAATTGCCACTTTTCCATTGTCACCCCAGATTTTACTGAGCAGTAGTATATACATTTATAGATCATATCCGTAATCTGTTTTTTGGTTTGGTTTTTGTTGTTGTTGTTTGTTTGTTTGTTTTTTCTATAAAGAACATAGGATACCTGCAAGCAACAGTCTGTCAACTCTGCTGATTTATTATTATATAAATAATTACACATAAGGCCCTATTTGCAGGCACAGGTACTGAGAAGATCCTGGCTCTCACTGACAAGCATCTTGCATCTGGCACACAAAATCCATCTTAACCAATGCTTTTCATTTTCACCTGAGCCAGAAACCAGGCATTGTATTTACACTAGTTGGGATTATTCTCCCACCAGAGATGGCCCCAGCTTCCAAAACATGTCTCCATTCCACTGTATCACCATCTCCTCTGGTATCAGTACTAAGTAAGCAAGTTTTAAAGGAGACCATACATATCACAGGTGTTTAGTTGAACTAGCCCCATCTGAATTACAGTTCTTTCCCTGGCACGCATCATTTTCCTACTGGCTCCCACAAAATTACTGCAGCCTTTTAGCTGCACCATTACACAGAAAACCTGGATATACTTTACACAGAACCGTAAATCCATGGGAAATGAGTTTTAGCTCTATCCTGTGCCAGGCAAACTAAGGCACTGCAAGTCACCAAACTTAGAAAATGTCTGAGTGCAAGCACAACAGGTAACATTATAGGGCTGCCAGTCAAAGACCTGGTATGACATATGCTTTCACATAATTACATTTGCAAGAGACTTAAGGATTTTTTGGATACAGCTGGTAGGAGCCTAAGCTGTTTATCAGGCATACTAAAAGTAAGAAGATGGGGCAGGAGGGATTCCAGTTCTAGCAGGATTTGAAATGTCAAAAAGGAATTAAGCAGAAATAACTACTGTAGAAAGTTAGGAGAGTAGACTGAAATCAACAGAATAAGCCTATTTGTATGCAAATTAATTTGAATCACAATTTCAGAGTATGCAAAAAAACTTGCCTAAATGTCTCTGTGGTGTGTAAAGTTATATTGTAGTAATTTAGAAGTACTTCTCTGAAAAGAAATAAATAAAAATAGATAAAAACTACAAGTTAGCATGCAGAAGTCTCTCTTGGATTACTTCTGACTCCATCTCTGGGTTTAGCTAGTCAGGCATTTATTCAAATCCTTACTGGAATGTTCTAGATGCTTTCCCTGGTTCAGACAGAGACTTGTACTGCAAGCTATATCCTCCCCTCTGACTTCTGAAAAATCAAAACCACAGATACTAAATTATGCTAATTTCATTCATAAGAAACAGATGCACAGACATTTCTACAATGTGCATTACTGTGTATTTTCTTTTTCTTTGAAGACTTCACACTTGGAACATTTTTTAAACTCGCAGTCTCTCAAAGGGAACCACTGGTATTTGATGCACTTAAGCTTTACTAAAGGTACGTTAATCATTATTTTAGAATGATCTGTTAAAACAATAATGGCTTTACCAAGTTAAATCTTAACAAGAATGATGGGAACGACCTTAGGTTAATGTGGTATGGTATGAGCAACCTAAGTCAAAAGAGAAGAAAATGATAAAGCACTGTATATACTTACCACCACCACCACCCTCCTCAAAATAAATTTCCAGAAAACATTTCTATACCAATCACTAATAATCCCCAGTCAAAATGCCAAAAAGCGTTTTCTAGAGAAATTCTATAAACAAAGCAATAACACAAATCCACATTTTTAAGGAAGGTTCAAATTCTAATCCCTTGATTGCAACCCTCTACTTGTAGATGGGCTTTGATCCAAAATGGGAATCCTGTGTTTCCCCTGCCCTGCTCTTCAGATGCATATATAACACATGTAAGGAACAGTACTATACATGAAACAAGACATACTTGTACAATTTTATATTTCAAATACTAGCTCAGATTTGGCCTCTAGCCTTTGCCTTCTACCTATCCGCTATCCAGATGCTAAGTGAACTGAAGCTTTTCTTGACATCCTGGCTAACAAAACTCTTTACAGACGGCACAACCCAAGGGCTTAAAACCCAGACCGCAGTAATCTCTCAGGTAGTTGCCTACATGTCTTGTTGCCATTGGTGCTAGTTTTTAGAGCACAACCATGGCATGCATGTCCAGGCAGTTGCCACTGATCGGCCTTATCCAAGAAGCAAATTTTACAGAGAGATCTTCAGTTTCCTAAATTGTCAGGAAAGCAAAAAGCAAATACAGAGGGAAAGACTTTTGCCAGTCAGGCTCTGAAAGAGAGCAGCAGCCACAGAGAGCAGATGTGAACTGGCAGCCTTAGGACAGTACCCGACACTGCAGCATCCAAGGGAGCCCAGGCCATCAGTCTGCAGAGAATTTAACTCTGACTGCTTAGCATTGACAGTCTTTCTGAAGATTTTATTATTACTATTTTTATTATTTAAACAAGGAAACTCCCCGTGCCTTGCTGAAGAACTAAACCACATCCTTCCAGAGAATATTTGCATAAAACTAGAGAGGCCTTTCCAAAACACAAGATTCAAACAGGTTGAGTGAGAGAAATTACTGAAGAACAATTAAAAGTTAGCACACAGGTCTCCCAGTGACGGGATTAAGCAGTATCATCTTCCCTTCCTTGTACTGCCAAGATCATGCTTTGTGTAGTATGTAAGAATAATTTTACACCAGTCCCTTGGTGTGAAGTGGAACACTTGCTTCTTGAAGGCACAGCAGATGGAGGATAAAAAGGCTGAAGAAGGGGACAAAAGCCCTGAAAACTGATGCAATTTATAAACTTTCTCCTTTCAGTGTGAAGTACTGATAGACTATCACTGCAAAGGGTTAGCTGAGTCAAAAACTGTGCCTCTACCAAGGAAGAACTGAGGGAGAAACGGGAAGGCAGGATGCTAACAAACTATCCTCCTGAAGTACATGCTGTACATGACTATACACAAAGGTGCTTTCTGAGCTGGGGCTAGAAACCCAGGTCCCAATTAGTAGACAGGGACACATTTGCAAATTTTTTTTTTTTTTTAACTTGCTGCTTCTGACTGAATTCTAAGGAAATACCGCAGACTGCCACAAGATGGTGGGCTTGCGAAATAAGATCTTGGAAAATTTGGTTTGTTACCTTTTTTTTTTCCCCCTAAACTGTTCCGGAACACTGCTTAGGACTTAATCTATCTATACAGAAATTACCATACAGATTTTGACGGCATAACAAACATACATACACACACATATACTGCCTGCAAAGCTCTTTAAGAATTTGATTTTTTAGTTCTATTTAGCAACAGTTAGACAAAAGTTAGAAACTTTCTTCTTTCAATATAAATATTGATATAGTCAGTATTTTCATAATAATGTAACTAAAAGAGTGTTTCGTATAATCAGAGACGTGTTTAGACCTTGCAGTCTAGTATTATTTTTTTCACCTTTTGTTTCAGAACACAGAGGGAAATTTAAAAATGGCAGACTCCAGGTTTAATACTCCATCTATATTTTAGGTATTCCAATCGCCAATGGACAAATACCATTAAGTGCATTTCAGCCATAGAGGACAGCTTTGAATTTCAAAGGAGAGCTGAACTGCAAGCTCTCTTGAGGATGGGGAGCATTTATTTCCCTTTCTGGTCTGCAGTGTTCTATCCACAGTCAACCAACCTATCTGCCTTGAGGGCATCTGCGTAGTTTGTAAGATGTGGATTTTTCCAGGGCCTGCAGAGGACCTTTTCCTCCTGGACATTTTTCAGCTACAGCTGATATGTTTAAGACAAGGCAGTAGTTCTCCCTTCAAACCTGGCCTATATTCCAGGACCATTACAGCCACAGAAACTTAATGATTATGCCTATCTTGGTATTTCGTTTGCTATCTGACAGTGTCGTATCAAAGTGTTCCATGATTATATATTGATAATTAACATGATTAAAAGTATTCATGAACAAATATTAAAATAGAGTATGTCAAGTCCAGCAGAAAATCCTCTGTTACCTAAATTGGAACAACCCTCATTAACTGAGGCGGACTTTCTCCAAGTGCACAATAAATAATTATGTGCCTGACATGGGAATGACAAAGCACAACGCAGAAAACCGAATGCAACACACGAAGCATCAGCAAGCTGAGAGACGGCCTCTTTCAGCATGTCGGCTGGAAAGTCTGAGAACGATTACTTACCTCGCTAAAACGTTAACACTCCTTTACTGTTGATACGTTTCCAAAGGAGCATCCCCCACCTCGCCACCGCCCACGCAAAGGCATTGCAAATGCACATGCACCACGGCCTCCCCTTAGTCATCAGACTACACGTATTCAAAGCCCCATTCATTTGAACTTTGTCATTAATATCCCTCATGGCATTGCTGTTTTGACAGCACTTTCCTTTGTGACACCACAGACACTGTGGAAGTGGCTGTCAGACCGATTACACCGCCTGGAGTTTTTCACCCTCTCTACCATAAACAAAAATTACTGAAGCCCAGCAGGTCACCAGAAATCCACGCATAACCCTTGCTCTCGGACACGCAGACAGCGTGTTCAGAGAGCTGGAGTCAGCGCTTCAGAGCACAAAGCCAAAGCTCCTCATAAACTCGCAGAGAGGAAATATTAACAGGGCAAGGTCACATTACAAAGAGATTAATGCTGTGCCAAAAATAGCTCCGGATCATGATGACACATAAACAGTTTGCATAAAGAACAAATAGTAGGCAACAACAAGCTGTGAGGCTATAATTCAATTTAGGAGTTCTGGTAATAAAATGAAGGAGAACAGTACGGTTCAAACAGTTTGTGGATCAGTAGCTCCCGGAATTACTAGAATTGCAGCTTCATCATTTCAGATGTGTCACAGATCACAATCCTGAAAACAGAGAGTCTCCCTCGCCGACATAGCCTGTACCCACCACCACATTTGCTGACCGTGTCCCTGCTTAACTG